AAAAAAAAAAAAAAAGAAATGACAGCAAAATCCCTAAAAAAAGGATAATTAACTTTTCAATGGCGACTATATTACATACGTGGGCAGTAATTTCCAAAGAGGCACACTAATGGGGGCACGAGTCTGCTACAAAATAGCTGAGACAAAACAATGTACCTCAAAATGTTTTGCAGGACTACACTGTCTTTTCCTTCAGAAGAGGCTTTTGTATGTCTTCTTACTCGGCTTAGTTCCATCTTCATCTGTGCATACTTACGCTGCACTGTCAAACAGTAACAAAAAGCCCTAATCAAAGTGAGAAACAATACACTTACCTCTGTCTGATCTGAGGTCTTATCAGATCAGTTTTAATTGGACTGAGTGTCACCTTCAGATTTAATGTCTTCACTGGTCCCATTGACCTCATTCTTAGTATCACTTTCCTTGGATTCAGTGTTTGTGTCTTCACTTTGTTTCTCTCGACTACTGGACTTCACACTACTTTTTTTATCATCAGATCCCCTCTTTTCTGCCATGAAAGAAGACATTGACCACGGATTTTAAAGTAGAATACAATAAATACATTACTCTGAAAGGTGAAGCAACAGAGATGAAAGACAATCGTTCCCCGCAGATAGCAGGTAACAGTTAGCTGGGTCCACAAAGGGATGCAGTTCATAGTTTAGGAGGAGGGAAGGAAGGGCCAAGAAGGGGCTAAAAGGAAAAAGGCAAACAGCAAATTCTCTCAACTTCATGAAAAGTTGCTAAATTCTGTGCACAATTTACTGAAAACCTAAGTAAATTTCATTCCAGCTAAAGAGCATCAGAAAGCAATGGGAAGTGTCTAGGGATAGCACATAAAGCTGCTCATCTTAGGTTAAATTATTTTTTTATAGATTTTATTTATTATTTTTATTCTACATGTATGAATGTATTGCCTGCATGTATGTGAGCACATCCGTGTCGTGCAATGCCACGGAAGCCAGAAGGCGGCTTCGGATTCCCCTGAACTGGAGTTAAGGATGGCTTGTAGCTGCCATGTGGGTGCTGAGAATCGAACCCGGGTCCTCTGCAGGAGCAGTCAGTGCTCTTAACTGCTGAGCCATCTCTCCAGCCCCAGGTTAAATTATTAAGCTTGAAGGGTAAAACAGCAACCAGGGTAAAAAAAAAAAAAATTTAACTGGCATGTTCATCTAACCATGTTTTAAATGCCAAAAATTTACTTACATCTAAATACCCAAGAGGGACACACATAAATGTAAAGGAAATGGGATCTTAAATTCCAATCTAAGAAGTCAAACCTTTGTTTTCACTAAACCTATGACACCTAAGAGATTTTTCCCAAAAGAAACAATTAAAAACTCAGTTCAGCTGCAAATAAAAACCAAACGGTAATTTTCAACTTTTCCTTCTATTAGTTTATTTGGAAAGGTAAAACTGTAGGCAAGGGGCAAAGTGGCACAAACAGCAAGCATGTATTCTACCTTTTAGCTCTAAGTATCCCTCTAATAAAAAATTTCTGCAGAAAATGTTAATCCAAACCAGAAACTTTCTGTAAAAGTCCCCACCCCCCAAAACTAAGAATAACCCATCTAACAAAATAGGTCATAAGACAGAAGACATTTGAAGAGAACTCTCCTAATTCTGGACAGTCATCACTGACAAACCACCAAATTCCTGGGAGAAGGCTGGAAACATAAACACATATGGTAGTAGTGGGGCACTCATTTAAAGAACATCAGAACTGAAGATCTGTGAAAGAGTATATTTAGTCCAACATCTGTAAACCAAGAGAAGCAACGTCCAAGTAGTTAACTGTATGACTTGCTTCATGTCTGTCTGTCCACTTGTGGGAACTGTGCTAACTGACCTTTTGGGAAAGTCCTCCCTTTGTGCCTTATGGGCTTCTCCGGTACACAGGTAGCTTCAATGAGGAAGAGTCGTCTTGTTGCCCCGTAGAGGACTAGTAGTCAGTCCAAAAATCTTATCTTCTGGCCTATGTAAATATGGTAGATCTTAATAGTCCTAAGGATATCCATAATGTGTGGTGGATTTTAGAGCTATGGATTAAATGGAAACGCTGGATAAAGAGTGTACCTAAAGGTGGCTGGTAAGACTACCATGTATGGAAAATGACTTCTCACGTGGGAGTTAAAATTACAGTTAAGCACCTGGAGCAGTCTTATTCACTTGTCATTATCAAATGCTTGTTAGTGCAGATGCCTAACCCCAAAGGCCAGAATGCTACCATTTGTACACTCAGAAATGTCTAGAACTTTCAAAAGCCAAGTGACTCATAATTTCTAAGTCATCCTAAAGATTAAGTTAACTCAACAATGGCAGACCTGATAGTTTTCTCAGTATCCAGTCTTCTCTCTTTTTTAAGTCTCACCAGAAACCTTAATTTGCCTAAACAAGAGTTTTTACTAAATTCCATGATGCTGTCATAGGAAATTCAGGACATCTTTTTGCTGTATCTAGATATTTAAAAAATCTGTCTGTTCCTTTATACAAGCCAGTACTATTTACAGCCCAACTTACTTTAACTAGCTTTTGTTGCACAATCAGAAACAAGCAACTAATGTAACAGGAATACAGGAACAAAAACTTCATAAAGCACATCCCTAGCTAGCTCTTGACAAATGTCACTTCACCCCCAAAATGCATTATACCACAAGCCTCAGTGAAAGACAGGGTGAAACTTTCACAAATGTAAATCAGTAACGCTTTACATGGCCTTTTGAATCACAGAAGCAGTTTCTCAAATAAAAATGCCAAATACTAAGGTACATTAAAGGTGCCTGGAGAGGTACATGTTATACAGCACTCCCTGCAAATAAGCAGAGGCAAAAAAAGTTTTATTTGTGCTGCTCTTCTCTACCTCAACCTAGCAAAAAACCTGTCCAGCAAAATAGTTCTATCCAAGAATAAAGCATGAGTACTACATGTAAGATCCGTGTCATAAACAGTAACACACATATTATGTTGGTGCTTAGACACAGGCACAGGCAGAATAGGATGGAACCAGCAGATCTGAGGAAATGAGAAACAGGCCCTTTCTCTCATCCCTAAAACGATACACAGCAGAAGAGTCCAGCTAACATGAAAGACGCTAAAATAATCTGAAACAAGAAAATTCAAACAGCAGACTCTGATGATTAAAAGCATCCTCTTCCATTAAAGGCTAAAAGATGAGAGTATTTTTGTGAGAACAGGACAAACACAAAATTTAAGGTCCACTGATATTGGTAACAGCTACTGGGCAGCTGTAGAACACGAAAGAATAAACAGAAGGGAAAGAGCATGCGGACTAGATACAAAACATGGTTTAGACACATGGAAGGCAATCAACTTCTGGGAACGCAGAAATCTGTTCCTAAGTTAAATGAATGCTGCACAACAGGACCAATGAACAACATACAATTACTTGCAAGCCATTATGGAATACTACAGATTTTTTTTTTTTAATGTTGTCAAATAAGAAAGATTTAAAAATTCTGTAGCTTAATCACCCTGGAAAGTGATATAACACTCGGAAGAATCTACATGAAAAACCTTCAGACTACGACCTTGAATGATGTGGTTCTATCACAATCTAAGATAACAGGCACAGGTCAATTAACATTCTCACCAGAGCAGAAGAGGGGAAAGATGCCCATCTTTTAATGAATGTTGTTCCTTGTAAGTGAAAAGATACGGCTTGAAACAGAGCCCTGTGTGTTTCGGAGCAGAACTGACAGAAAGACAAGCAGTATGGAGAGCCTCAGTGAATGACTTCTCCTAATAAACGAACCTTTCTCCTTGGATTTTCTGTCTTGTTCTCTGTCCCGACTTTTGCTCCTGTGTTTATATGACTTTCTATCCCGACTTTTTGACCTTCTTCGGTCACGGCTGCGAGATCTATGTTTTCTCTCTGATCTGTCATGGCTTCTGCTTCGTCGTCGATCTCTACTTCTTAATAATTAAAGAGAAAAGAAAGCAACGTCAGCTGGTATTACAAAGACAAAAGGCCTTGGAGAAGTATATTCAATCATTTAAAAGATTCAAGTAAAACTCATTCTTAGCAAATGATTAACTTATTAAAACATTTTATATTAGAAATCTTAAAGTTGAAATGATTGAAGTTAT